TGTTCAGACCTCAGCAAAGCATTTGATAGGGTGCCATAAGATAGACTACTCTTTATGCTGGAAAATATTCTAATTGTCAGACCTCTCTTAAAGTAAATTAAAATTACTTGATAGGTTGTATACAGAAAACAAGAATTTATCCCAGATTCTCCTCTTGTGAAACAATGCTTGACAGAGAACCACAAGGCTTGGTCCTAGGTCCGCTGTTTTTAATACTATATGTAAATGAACTTACTAGTATAGTTAAGTCTCCGGTGGTACTATACGTTGATGGTATAAAATTTGGCGGGAAATAGCAGAAGACTAACTCCAGACAGACTTAAATGTTTTAAAAAATGCTGGTGCTTATTACTCGACCAAGCGTATTAACATGCACATTGGGTATACTATTGTAAGTAGGTACAGTATGGAGGAAGTGTCAGTGCCTGGTGTCCGGTCTCACAAGGATCTGGGAGTGAGCCATGATCTCAAGATCACTGCATATTGTCACATGGTTGCGGTTGTGGGTTTAGAACCCAATGAGCTTGAAGGCGGATATTTACCAAGTTAGATACTACTATATTCACTGCAGTATGCACGACTTCGATGAAGATCCGAACGTGGAAACTTCGTTCGGTCTAATGACCTCTGTTTATGTGATCTGGATATCTGAAAAAAAGTACAGAGACGACTGTCCAAGCGATTCCAGAGCTCCAGAAACACACAAAGAGCAGGTTGAGAAGCCAGGCTTTTTTGATCTGTCACATATCAGATTAAGTAGTGGTCTGATTTTGATGTATAGAATACTTAGAAATTATTTTGAACATGACATATCGTCTCTTTATCTCTCCAATAAATCCGAACGACCAATTTGGTGCATTGAGCTAGTACAGAAGCCAAGAACGGACAAAATATCCATGACATGAAGATTTAAAATTAAGTTTTTTTTGACGCGCGCTATCGAAAAAGAACAGTGGTATTGTTTCTCGTTAAATTAGCAAACTGTTTTGATCGTAAATTACGTATCAAAACTACGATTTACACTTTAATTGAATCTACTCCAGTTAAGGTGATATTTTACTGAGTTTTTTTTGGCTTTTGTGTATTTATTACATTCGAAAGCATTCTTGGTCTGTATCAAAGTACTTTAGTTAAGGTTTGACATCTTGCTAGAGTTTGTCTTGTAGTTCATACTGTGATCATATTGTGTGTTACACCTTGATCAGACTAAAATGGTTGGCAGTACCCACAAATGTGGACAACCAAACTGTTTGTTCCCTGTGGAGGAGGGAATGCAGTGTGACGGATGCAATAAATGGTTCCACAAAATGTGCACCCGTTTAAGTCCCACTGCATATAAAAGATGTTTTGCTGTGCCAACAAGGCATTGCTAATTTAGGAGGCTATGAGCCTATTGGCTTTGGCCTGTAAGAAGAACGATGGCATATGCGCTGACAACACGGGCACTGACAGTGACGAATGTGTCAGTGTAGTACCTGCTGTTACGCGACGTCTCAAACAACCGACTCTGACCGACGTAATAGTGAAATCTTCGTTGACATTAACACGGGGAGTAGTACCACCTGGTACTGACATTGTTAATAATGTACCTTCAGTGGGAACCGAAGATCTGGATAAAACAGTCACCGTTCCAAATAGTCCCAGTGTTATGAGAGATGAAAAATGGACTACGGTACATAGGAAACGAAACGAAAAGAAAAAAGCTGTAAGCAGTACACAGGTAGTTAATAACTCACTGGTGGACTCAAATTGTGAGCCACAACTCGCACTACCAAGATCTGATCGTAAGACTGAAACCCATCCTGGCGTAACTGAGAAGAAAAATCTAATAACATCGAATATTATTGTGAGCAAATTGCGGGGGTCAAACGACCCTGATCCGAAAATTAGACACGCGCATGACTTAGAAAAGCTAGGAGAATACATTCGTAGTATTTTACCAGATAACTCCAAAGGAGTTCAGGTTAAAAAGTTGGTAAGAATAGCCAAGAGGACCGAGGACAATGTTGAACCCCGTCCATGCAGACTCCTTAAGGTAATCCTAGGACCGGAGAAGCAACGGGACCTCTTGTTAAGTAGCGCTCGTTTTCACGGCAATTCTGACATCCGAGTTAGACCTGATATGTCTCTCGAAGAATAGAATAAAAAGAAAGAAAGCACTAGCTGAAATTGTATCCCGTCGGCAGAACGGCGAGGAAAATCTCCGGCGAGTGGGTTTTCGGATAGTCAGGTCTTGGAAGCGAATGTTACCAAGGCCTGTGTGGATAGGCTGTTCTACTTAGGAGTTTTATATGCCAACGCTCGTAGCCTACGAAATAAGTTCTATGAACTAGAAGCACTGGTGGATAGGTTAAAGCCACTCATAGTAGCAGTGACAGAAACTTGGTTAGTCGATGACTTAGACATTACTCCAGAATTATCCGGATACCATTGCATTAGAAGTGATAGACATAGATGTAGGAAAGGAGGCGGCGTCCTGTTATACATAGCCAATAGCATAAATGTCCGCTCCTCTACTAGTAAATCCCATGATCGCTGCACTTGTGAAGTCATTAGCTGTAAGTTGGCTATAGGATGTAGTACATTTATGCTAGATGTCATCTATCGGAGCCCAATCTGCCTATCTGATGACTTTGTTTTAGAGCACATTCATCTTTGGAGTGAAAATACCAGATGTTTGATAATAGGAGACTTTAACGCACCTGATATTAGTTGGACTGATATGACCACAGAAGGATCTATAAACTCCTTTGATAGTAAGTTCCTGATAACAATAATGAAGCATGCACTAGTACAGCATGTATCCCAACTCACACGTTTTGGTGTCAACCAGGGTTCTTCTCTGCTGGATTTGGTAATCACTCATGAGACTGAGGATATTGTCGACTTGAATATTCTCCCGCCGTTAGTGAACAGAGACCACGCTGTTTTGTCATTCACGTTTCGAACTAGGGACATGTTATACGATCAGGTTACACCTCACCCAATTGTATCAAAAGCTAACATATCAGCCATTCAGGAATGTGCTGCTAAGACAAATTGGTTAGTAGATACCAGCATATCAGTTGAAGAAGCATGGTCTGTATTTAAAGGTAAATTTAGACTAGTTACGTCCCCGTTCATACCATACCTGGTACCGCGAAGACCGAATAATAGTCCACCATGGATGACTAAAACAGTCAGGAAACTCCTTAGAAAAAGGAAGAATCACTGGGATATGTTCATCTCTACTGGCTTAGAACAATACAGATCCAGTTACTGTAAGAGTAGGAATGCCTGTAAAGCGTTAATAAGTAAGACTAGACTATCATACGAAAAACAATTGGTTAGGGATTCTAGATATAGTCCGAAACGGTTATTCTCGTATATAAAAAGGCGAACTAAGAGAAGTGATGGAATTCCATCACTTTTGATACGAGATAATCCGTTAATCTTAGCAGAGAATGATGCCGAAAAAGCTGAAGCTTTATCGGAATACTTTAGTAAAGTGTTTTCTATCGGTAATGAGGAACGACCAATGATTCGTCGCGACCGTGACGGCTCGCTGATGGATCCTGTACTCATTGAGAAAGATACTGTTTTAAGGCTACTCCAGCATCTCAAACCTGATAAGTCCAGTGGTCCTGACGATATTCATCCTAGGATTATGAAAGCCATGTCAGATGAAGTTGCTGAACCATTATCGATACTATTCAACATGTCTCCCAGACCGTCCAGACATCATAGAGACTGGAAAGACGCCATAATAAGTCCGGTGTATAAGGCTGGGGGTAGGGATTTAGTTAGTAACTATAGACCCGTCAGCTTAACTAGTGCAGTTGTAAAACTGATGGAGAAAATCATTCGGATAGCTGTTATAAACTATGTTGATGGGCAAAATCGTTTCTCCAGGGAACAACATGGTTTTCGGAAAGGCCTATTTTGCTTGACAAATCTTCTCATTGCACGGGAAGATTGGGCTGCGGCAAAGGATCGGAATGCTCCTGTGGATGTGATTTTCATAGATCTAAGTAAAGCCTTTGATAAGGTTTCCCACACTGGTCTTAAATTCAAACTGAAACGTTTTGGAATTCATTATACAGTCGTCGATTGGATAAGTAACTTTCTCCATGACAGGAGATAAAGGGTAAGGGTTAATGGGGCTCTCTCCTCATGAGTACCTGTAAAAAGTGGGTTTCCCCAAGGTACAATCCTGGGTCCTCTTCTCTTTTTACTTTATGTAAATGAATTGCCAACTGTAGCAAAATCATCGTTCTACTCTTCGCTGATGACATAAAGATTTGGAGACGCATACATACATACATATGTCGGATAGGATAGTATTGCAGGACGATCTTAGCTCATTGGTGGCATGGTTAGATAGGTGGTCACTAGAAGTAAATCCTAATAAGAGTGTAGTGATGCAGTTAAATAACTCTGATGAATTGTATGACTATACACTACGTGGATTCGTGCTACCCAAAGTAAGAAACTATAAAGATTTAGGAGTCATATTAAGCAATGATCTCAAAACGACTAGTCATTGTAAGGCTGTTGCTGCGAAAGGCTATGGGGCATTATGGTCAATTCGTAGGTCTTTCCAGTATTTAGATGATAAAATGTTTAGATTACTATACCCGATTTATGTTCGACCACATTTAGAATACGGGATTCAAGCAGCGTGTCCTTGTTTCAAATATGAGTCAGATATGCTAGAAAGAGTCCAACAACGAGCTACTAAGATGGTACAAGGTCTATCTGGCTTATCTTATGAAGACAGACTGAGACACCTTAACTTATTTCCGTTATCTTACCGTAGAATAAGGGGTGATCTAATATTGGCCTATCGTATACTGAACGATGACCTTGGTATTAACATGTCTTATCTTTTGCTCCCGTCTAGAACCGATCATTTGAGAGGACATTCGAAGAAAGTTCAAAAACCGAGATCGAACCGTTTATGTCTGGAGTTCCGTTTCTCGCACCGAGCAGAGAATTACTGGAATTCTCTACCGGAACACGTAATATCAGCACCATCTGTTAATATATTCAAAACGAGATTGAACCTCCACAGTATTACAAACTGTAAGGATTAACATAGGTCGACAAACCACCTATCCTTATTACTGAAGACTGAAGACTGAAGTAGTCGATTCTTGGAACTTGTATGTCGAAGCGGTCTATTTCAATAAAACGGTACTTCACGTAACTTCACTATCTTCGCTTAAGCCTCAATTTGTTTTAAATACAGTTTCATTACACTAAATTTTTTCTTCGAAATAAACGCGGCGGCACAATATTATTCAAACATTAGTCAATTTTAGTCAAAATCATATCGCAGAACTAGAGGCGATTTGATTCTAGTCTTCAAATTGCTTAGTAATAAATTTGCACCTGATATGCCCTCATTTTTCTTGTCTTCCAAAACAGAAAATTTACGAGGACACTCCAAAAAAGTTCACAAGCCCAGAGCAAATTACTTGTCAGCTGACTATCGACTTTCCCACCGAATCATCAACGAGTGGAATTCATTACCTCAATACGTGTTTGAGGCTCCATCCGTCGATTCTTTCAAAAGAAAGTTGGATCAACTAAGAGACCACCATTGTCAGAACTAACACAGGCCATCAAGCCTCCTGTTCTTCCCAAACTGAGACTGAAAATGTATTGTTTCATTATTTAGGGTTATCCCTATAGGTTTTACACCTTAAAATACTCTTCTTTAGTTCGTTAACTTCCTATAAAAAGATAATAAGGTAGAATGGCTAAACAGAAATTCGGAGTCGATGGTCATGTAGCCGTGATATGATTAGTTGCTATCTTAAATCGCCATGCCACTTGTTCTCAAATTTATGTATATTAACGCTGATTTTATGTTTGTCCTTACAGGCAAAATACTTGTACCTGTACACTATTACTTCAGTAACTTTCATCTATCTACTAGTCAGAATTTATGTCACTCTGGTAAACTGACATATATAGTTGTCGCTAATAATTCAACAATCTATGGCACCTCGCCAAGCGCTTTAACTAACATACTTAGCAAACGGTGCTGTTCGAACAATGGCAATCTCTCTATTTCCCCGTCATTATTATTACTATTTTGTCTGTATGACCATATGTGTTAGGCCATATGTTACAGCCTACTCATATATTCCTCACTCTACCTCAAATGTTAGTCGCTTAAATGTCGCTCGATGAATCATTCGCTTTCCCATATATATATGATCGAATCTTCTAATTGGTTTACTTCGTTCCTATTTGACTTATAATCCACCTCTGTATTCAATTACTCGCACGCATTAGCCTCTGCCGAAATTCGCTTGATGCGCTTGTAACTTTGTTGTTCGTGCTGCCCAATAATAAACTGCGGTCGATGCTTCGTATCGCCTTCTAAGTTTTTAATTCGTTGGGATTTAATCAATAACCGTTATCAGAGCAATTAATAAGCGAGTCCTTAGGAATTATCTGGAAACCAAGTCGCTTCAAATTATCAACTATGTAGGTTTTAGTAGCTAAAGAAAACCTGAAGTTCATCAAATCTAAAAACGAAGATATGGTAATCTGAATAGTTTTTGTTTACTTTTCAACTTTTATAATTCAGTAAGCTTAACATTCTTTGTTAATGTGGGATTTAATATGCTTCCTGAGATATGAATTGTGGATAACACTGTCGTATTCTCAAAGTTACAGTACCATTAAGATTTCTCTACATTGAATCAAACGGAATTCGTTTGTTTCTGTCAGTTCCTGGCGAAGTACTTTAGTCACAGTTAAAGGTAGTTACATGATTATGGGAAATTGTTATTTTCCAATAAATACATATATATGCGTAAAGGTTGACTGTCTTAATGCTTCAGTGTTGGTAATATTAACTTCACTATGGTCCTCTTCAGTTTCATTTTGCTCTTTCAGGATTCCCTATGCCGATGTCAACATGTCATGTTGGATCGGTAGTTACACCATTGGCTGTCTTAAATCGACTACCAGGCTGGCTCGGCACGTTGGTTATCAGCCCTGATGGATCAGTTCTGCAGTCAGCTGGTGAATTAGTAAATAATAAGGAATTGGCCCAACATTTCGCTGCGATCGCCAACAGAGTTGGCCGTTTATTAAATATGGAAGGTGAAAGAAAAACTCAACAATTCAAAAGATTAACTAGTGAGATATGCTTTTTTGTCTTGGCTGTTTCTCCACATTGCCTGCTACATTGATATCTTTTATTGATCTAATCGAAGTATATCAATTTAAAAGTTCCCCCTCCCATGTTTTCCTCAATTCGGTTGTCTTGATTGAGATAGGATAAAAACATAGCTGCTAGTTGATGTTATAAATCACACTGACTTAACAAATTAATGTTCTTTACCTCGCTGAGATGTAGTAGAAATGTTTTCGTAAGAATAAACAACAACGTTGAAGTATTACTCCTAATGAAAGAATGAACTAAGAGTAGTTGACTATAAAAATATTAACTTTGCACTCTCAGGTTTTGAAGCCTGCTTTAAGGCTTTTGAAGTTCCAAACTCTGCTAGCTAGGGCTACTATCTTGAAGCAATTCTTCATCCGATTATGTTGGCAGGGGATCTAGTCGGGTCGACAAACGATACTGAACCACTTCTCATATAAGTTTCGAAAGAGATAAATCCATCATTAGACTAATCTAATGGATTAAATACTGCTACGTAGAGTACTTAGTTGGTGTTTGGAATTTAGTCATAGTTCCTTCTTATCCCGATTGGTTACTAGTTATAGTTCATTAGACAAACCAAGCTTTGGTAGTATTTGTTCCAGACAGTCGCTTGTAGTTCTACTTTAAGTCAACCCAACAGTATGAAACTATAAAGATTGGAATAAAAAGAGCCGGAAATATAATGTAAGCAGTAGCAAAGAATCAACCATAGGAAATGTGTCTCGAAAATTTTAAATAAAACAAGCAATGAAGAATGCGTAGTAATCTAGGGGAAGGTGACAAATCAATGTTTCTGTACCACTGCAACTAAATTAAGTTGTGTGACCTAGGGTCTCCAACCGCAAATCACTATTATCTCGCGGATCACAGCCAGGAAATTTTCATTTCAACACGGAGCAATAAAACAATTAGTGACTTTATTGACTAACATCAACGCGGTCTGAGTCCTCATAGTCTTTTCCAAATGTAATCATATCCTAGTTAATATTCCACATCTGGGTTCGATAGCGACTAGGCATGTGTAAGACATGTTTGGACCACCAAATTTGACGATGATTTTCGCTCTTCGAATCAATTTACCAGTTGTGATTTAACACTTAATGACAAACGCTGCTACGAAATCCCCTAACCAAGGTACTTGATTATCAGCCTATGTCAATGTTGCATCTTGTGTTCTAAATGGTGTAATCATAAAGTCTTGACTTTCTAGGATGAGTATCCTAAAATGTGACTTGCAATAGTTCCACCGAATATTTTCTAGTGACCCATCCCGATGAAGTATTATGCTTCTTATTGGTAGTTGTATTGTCTCTTCTTTCAGAAAAACCAACAGAATAAGGATACTGTCAGTAGCAGTCAGTCACATTCCCTGTCCCCATGACAAATTACGACTATGAAATGTGAGGGAATTCTCAAAGTTATCTCTTTTCCAAATTTTGTGTCGATACTGTTATACACCTATGTATTCGTTTTGTTGTGGTGGGAACTTCACACGGTATTGCTGCAAATAGCCCAAGGTGTCAACCTTCAAACAACTAATTATATTATTAATGGTTTCTAATTTTTTCAATATCACAGCAGTGATCAAAGATATCTTGCGTAATCCTTTCCTTAGTTGTGTTAGGTTTGTAGTTGTGTAATTATCAAAGATCAAATTTAGCTATGGATTGTAGGGCGTTCAAACATCTTAAATTAGCCTTCAGTTACGATAGGTAGTCCATTGTTCGGGGACCTGGATAATCAATAATTGAGGCTAATATGGTGGAACTGTATCCAATTCTGGCACATTATTCAACCATGTAGTTGTGAGTACTGACTCGTTATGTTTCTGAACCCTTCTGCTAACTGAGTCAGCTGAAATTTACAAGTCCATACCTTTTGACTTCCTGCCACTATCGCATTTACGTTTCGGTCTCCTAACTTGAGTTTTCCAATGAGGCGTCTGGCTTTCATGTTAGTGAACAATATATCCTAACCAAAAATTTAATTTCAATGCTTCAAGGAAACCTTGCATTTAGTCACACAAAACCCTGTATATGAGTTATCGTACTTGATGTTACCGATAAACGCCGATACACTGTAAGTTGATTGCATATTTCAAATAGTGTTCTATAAAAGCTTAATGTTCATGATTTCAGAGAATCTTAATGTTGGTAACCTTCAATATCTATTTTCCTAACTACTCATTCAGATTTGATAGCATATCTTCAATACCAACTTACTAGTATTAAACGGTTATTCAACAATTTGAAAAGTATCATTTTCACCAAACCACTTGCAAAAATATTCTGTCGTATTGATATCTGCTATTCAAAATAGAATTTAACTACATAAATAGTAATGATATTTTTCTCTTGTGTTTTCTTCCTTTCATTCATCCATTTAAAGTACATTTCGAGCATTCAATATATATTATGACATGTGTTGGTGATACCATCTATGTAGTAAAACGTCTCCCAGATAATCAGAATATTTCATGCGCAGAGACATATCAACAATTACATCTTGTCAAATCGGATAATAGTATGACTAATAATAATAATCCTATTGATGTACATCATTCTGCTACTGTTATTAATAATACTAACAATATAGTTACAATAGATAATCATGGACCTCATTTTTTTGAAGCACGTGCTCCAGATGATTATTGAAAATGAATATAATACCATATTCCCTTCATTTAATAATCCTTCCCCTTTACTTCTCTTTATCGTAACAATAAATATGATTTAATGGTTGCCATTAATGATGTAGCGAAATAATTATCTTTTGTGTAAATAATGTTGCTTCTTTTGTATCTGTTTATTTTTTCATTGTATAATTTAAGAATATACTAGTCTTTTGATAATCAGCCTTTTTCCTTCATCATATCGACAAGATTAAAACTGTGATATATTGTAACATTTTAAAGTTCAGGATATTCATTTCATTCTATTCGAATCTCGTAAACTATTGTGTTTAGTAATAAATATATTTTTTAGTTCACTTGGTATTGTTTTATTTGAACCTTCCCATTGATGTTTAGGACTGCGATTGATTAGTCTCTTATTGGCATATATGCATACTGTGCTTATTGCCTCTATATTGCCTTAATTTACAAAAATTATAAGCAAATATGTTTAGTGGCTAGCAGTGGAATTCAGGACGCGCGTTTCGCCCTATTTGGGACTCGTTAGCTGGATGTACCTGCATCTGAGAGTTGATGTTCACTCTAGGACTCGAACCTAGTGCCGTTCGCTTCAAGCGCAAGTAGTTATCAGGATTCAGTAGCTAAGTGGATAACGCGATGGCGTACTGTAACTATCCATCATATCTAAGGTTCTCCTCGAATGTGTACTTGATAAACGGATTACATTGTTTAATAACAACAACAAGATTAACTGAATACTCAATGATTTGCTTATTAGTAGTATTAAGATATAATTACACTGTGTCACTAAAAATATTTCATCAGTAATGTTGTCCTATACATTGTTTCGACAAAAGGTTTGGGTTTTTCCAATCATGACGCACAAGGGGTGATCTTACTACTGTTGATGACTTATGACCAATGAAGATAATGTAGGCTTCAGATTGGTACAATTTCTCTGAAATCAAACATTTCGTAGTACTAGAACGAATTACCAAGAAAAATCAATCACATAGTGTAGATTAACAATACTTTGAAGCAGATCATCAGAAAACTGGATGTTACTGATGTAGTGAACGAATAAGAATAGCATTTAGTGAACAAAACTTGTAAGAAAGTAACTAAAATGAAATTCTCATCTTTTATGAACTACTTATTGGAAAACTAAAACATTGTCGTTATTAACTTCTATTCTAGGTAATATTTGGTAAAGTCTCAATGTTTCGAGTCGCATGATCCATAGGAACTCATCCAGTGATCTCTTGTGGATCAACAGAACTTAGTATCAAACCAATATCTTTCGTTTTGCAATTTAATATATATTTATTCACATTTTATACTTACTTCCAAAATCAGCAAAGAATTCGTTGTACCCAATTATCAGGGTGAGCGTCCTTTAAACGTATTCAATACATCAAATTTAATGTGTGAAGATGGCTAATATCATTGAAAAACTGACATTTTCATGGTGTTTTACTACCAGAATACGGAAGTTAATCCTTATCACGAATCGAAATCATTTCAGTGAAAACCACTTGTGATTTATGATGAAAGTAATCTTCCTTCAGAATTTCTTTTTGTTGGCTATTAATTTTTTCAGCTCAACCATCTAGTTTGAGAATCTACTTTTTACTGTTTTGTCATTTGTATTGAACGTTTGTGGTTGCTGATATTCATGAGTACATTTCACTAGTGACATTTTCTAAGCTTATTTTTAAACTACTTATAAGTAATGTACTTGGATATAAAATATTTTACTAAACTATTCGCTTGTTGTTGTTTTACTTGTATCTTCCCATTGTTATTTAAGACTGCAATTGATCAATTTCATGTTGGCATATGTGCATCATGTACGGTTTGTCTCGACATAGCCTTAAGTCACAAGCTTTTTAAGCCGCGTCCTGGATTCCACTGCTAGCCACTATCCATCTTGGCTTACTCAGACGATAAATAACAGGCACATAGATGTGTATATAAAGTTATTTCCCATGTCATGAAATTGTATTGAATGTTTCGTTAAATGTTTATGATAACAGTATTTTTTTTAAAGAAGCTGCACCAAAATAGTGAACTAGAACTATGGTAGATTTAAGGTATATTAAAGAATATCTTGTAAAATCGATTACACATTCCAGTCATAACTCCGAATCCAAACTCCACTTAACATCATTGTTCCCATTGATCCAGAATACGTTATGATGGTTAATCTGTTGATATAGACGACTGTAGCAATTCCTGTAGAAAGTTTAATGTCGATCGCTGTAGTTATACGTTTATAGAGTTCTCATTTAGTCAATACAACCGTGGTCGTTTAAACCGACTGTGTTTTTCATATATCTCAGACTAAGCACTGTATTATCTGGGAACAGGATGCTTCAAGTTAAATATTTAGACGATGTCAAAACAAGAATGACGTAGAAAGATGGATTTTTAGTATAAGTGGACATGAGTAAATTGCTATCCTGTTTGACATCTTTAAAAAGTGTGAAATTGACTAAAACTCTCATGTGGCTGTCACGTGAAAATGGTCTTATACTTTAGATCGTTGCCTTACTGACAGTCAGAATGAATCAGTTAGCATTTTCTGACGTAATTTCGAAATTTTTAATTTGACCATGGTACGACAGAGAGTGGGGAGAGTCAGCCCTACCTCTCCAAACGCTCTCACATGAACACGTGTATACAGCCACTGCCAAGAAAGTCCTACTCATTGCCTTCTCGCGGCATTACTTTTGTTTACCGAATTGAGAGCATAAAAAGTGGATGGCCGGCGCTTTAAACGGGCTGGTGGGTATGGTGAGTCCACCTAGGGGAATTGAAAAACACTAGTTCCAAACTAATGGGCTCCAGTATCTTGAGGGAACAAATGGCATATGAGCGAATCGTTATTCACTTGCTACAATGGTACTGCATCTCCTTACGTTGCTCCAATGCCTTGTGGATTGGACTTTTAGGTCGAAGGCTCCCTGTGCAGCCCCCTAATAAAACCACCTGTTTCTGTTTGGTTACCCAGGCAGTATCATAGCTTACATACAAATGAAGTGACTTATGTGTCGCATATGTATTCGGTACCCCTCTGTATCAGTTTTTATGTGTTCAAATGAATAAATATAGCACACTCAGTTTCGATTACACTACTTTTTATTTAAACACTATCCGACTGTTTTCCGTTCATTAAAATCAGAGATCTTTAAATATATGTTTTCTAGTTATTCTCTTGATGTTTCTCTTGTGGAATTCACACTTTAAAATACTTAGGATTTACTTTCAAGTAGATTTACTACTTAAATTACAGTACATAGTAGTTAAAATACTGTAGTGAAATAAAATTTTACAGCTAGTTTTAATGGGCTACTTGAATTTGTGTCTGAAGTTAAGATTACTAGGACTGCTTACAATACATCTGATGTAAATTAAACTGTATAGGTATAAGTACATGGAGATTGTATATGACATTAAGTATTTCTACAATTTTCGTGTTTACTCAAATGGAATTATCCGTTAACTTAAGTTATGTCATACTTCCGTAAATCATTTGCGAAATATTAAAAACAATATGATTTACTTATTACTCATCGTTTGTTTCAAACGTAATCGTGTTATACACTTAGCTATTGGGTTCTGATAGTCACTTACTTATGTAATGAGGTGAATGGTACTTGATTCGAATTCCAGATTAAATATAAACTTTAAGATGAAAGTACAAATCCAGCTGACGAGTCCCAAACAGGGAGAAATGCTCATCCTGGATTTCACTGCTAACCATTATTTATCTTTATTTTGCTCAAAAGTTATGTAATCCAAAGATATTGAGATTTCAAGCAGAAAGTCTCATAAATATAATAACCTGCCTAAAATATTATTTAGTATTTTTCTAATGTTTTTGACTGGTAATATCACTCTACCATTATCTACCTTGTTTTAGTGATCCTGTAAATGAGTTTAAAATGTATCACCTAATTACATAAATAATAGATGAGTAGTTAGTTATGGAACTCTTAAGCTTTATTAATCTTAATAAATTTACTTTTATTTTAAATATGAGGAATATTGATATTAATCAGTTACTCAAACTGAAGCTGTTGAATCATTAATCTACTTACTATCTTATGTTCACTCTTGGAGATAAGTAGTATTATTCTGTATTGTACATTACGGCTGCGAAACATGGTTATTAAGAGTAAGCTACTAGTAATTGACCTTATATGCCTTAGAAATATTGCTCACATCTGCTGGGAGCACCAGGTAAGTAATAATGAGGTTAGACGTATGGTATTAAGGAATGATGGTAAATCAGTTGGTAAGGTTGTGAATCTTCATCGACTGAGATGGTTGGACCACGTGTTGCATATGCCTGAACACCGATTACCACGACGTGCAATGCTAACCGGTGTTGGGGATGGTTGGTAGAAAGTTAAGAGCGCCCAAACCAAAACGCTGCATCACTGCTTGAAGTCACTAACTTATAGTCTGAGCTATGTTGATACATGCAGACTACTTGATTGAGGTCCGCGTGACTATCGTATCCAGTGATTGGAGACTGTATGTGACATGGTTCAGAATCTTCCCTTAAACTAAGAGGTTAAAGTCGCTTTATATCTTTCTTTCTACGAATTAATTCTTTCTTCTTGTACTATATCCCCATATACAATCTTTCTTTTATATATTACTACCATTGACCTAACTACTCCTATGAATCCGGTGTTCATTTTGTAATGTATTTAGTTAACTAGATTAAAATGAATATCCTTAGTCTGATCTCCTTTTTCGGCTATTTTGAAGCTACGAGATGCACACTTTCTCTTACTCCCAACTCATATGCAAAGACTATTCTCAACATCATGTACGATAGCATGGTGAATGTGTGCTGCCTGTTTTTTCAACATCAAACTTGTAATTCACGGTTATGTATTTCTTGATAGTAGCGAGTGAACTGCACCTACAATCCTTAACCGCCAAAATAACCTCTATTATCATATTGAATACTGGTGGGTTACTGGCCGGTGTTTTAGGCTTCTTTATTGGGAGAGTTACTGAAGTACTCATAACTAAACTTTCATTTCAAATTTTCACTTAGAGACGAGAACAAATTGAAAGTATATCTCATTCATTATAAACTAACTTTAATTCTTCAAATTAAATAAAACAATCATCAGTTTGTTTAATTCAAAATTCAATGTTTCTTAAATACATTTTTAAAAATAATAAGGAACGGGGGGGGGTAAGGAGAAAACTCATAAAGCTTCAGTTTTATGTTTTTATCATTCCCATAACTTGTAAACATTTATTCCAACTTATATCATAATGAGAATATATATATATATATATATATATATATATATATATATATATATATATATATATATATATACTAGTTAAAAGAAAATATAAACACCAACTAATGTTGATTGTTCTTGTTCCCCCCTTCTCTTTCTCTCCTTATAAATAAATATACAGTC